TATATATATAGGTGGATGATACTTTGCAAGTCGTAACCAAGCTTCTGGTGTTTTAAAATTATTGATATAGTTTAAACTATATTCGGTTAACATATATCGGATATAATTATTTTTTGTCCATTCTTTAACAATATCGTGAATATTAGACATATTTATATTTCAAATGTGTAGATTTTATTAACTAAGACTTTTTATTTAATAAGTATGAGCCAGGATCGCTAGATCTTCAATGGCAATTATGGACGATTTTTAACTTATAGGTAAGTGCGGTTAGTACCATTTCTCTGAAATACTTCTATGCTGATCTCTGATTCATAGATTTAAAACACATGATATCGCTCCATTGAGGCTCATTATAACATCATGTGATTTTGAAGTTACGATGTGGTTATGCTCTAATAATTTATTATACATATAGATTAGATCTGTTAGCATCCTCACTCTGCGAGTTAAGCTCGATAATTAACTTTGCTTTTTATTTTATGCTTTCTAATAGGCGTTTCTTTACTGCTCTAGTCTTATGTATATGTGTAACTTCTATTTCCAAACTAGATATAGAAGAATTACTTGAATCACTAACGGAAGATTCTGACTCAGATACTAAAATGGTTCTGGCAACCTTAGCTTTTCCATTTTTTTTCTTCTTGCCATGTGAACCAGTATGACAGTTTGATATTTGTGAGAATCAGAAATAATATAGTGTGAAGTACCCTTTTCTACAGCATGAATTATAAATCTAATTATGTTCTCAATATCTTTCAGAAATGGATTGGAATTGGGTGTTATTTTTCGTGGAGCTGTCTTTATTACTATTTTTTTGATTAATAAGATACTCATACCATCTATTACAATTCTAGCATAGCTGTCATAGGTTTTGGGAGAATGCCCAAAGCTAATTTTGCTTTACGCATCCATAACCATTCTTGTCCCAGAACCAAATCGAACGATGGATTTTTGCAAATTTGAAAGTCTATTACTTCAGTACTATCTAAACTTCGCCACTTTCTTTTATAGCAAAATTGCAAATCTAAATATTTTATTTCATCTATTACATCTTCATAGAGATTCTCAACAGGATTATGTATTCCATAATCTTCTTTAAGCTTATCAAACAAGCTCTCACTAATGGTATTAAACTTCGATGATGTATCAATTAATGCTTTTACTGTGATTTTTCCTTCTACAAGTATATTGATGAATATATTAAATATGTTTAATGATGTATATTATAACCAAAAAATAATTATAATTTATAACTTATCTATTATTAGTTTAGCTTATATAAGTATTCTAGACTCGAAGAGTCATTGCTTCGCAATAGATATATAGGATACACATTCATTTTGATATCTCTTTGAGAGCTTAATGCTTAAAGCTCTTTGTTCAGCCAACTCTGAAGATATTCCATTTGATACAAAATTTTTAAATGCTTGTATATGCTAATGACTATATGGCAAACTAGTTATTCCATCAGATAATATCTAATGCTTAGTATCTATAGAACAAAGAGCCTTCTTTTCTGATTCGACCAAAGATAATATATGGTCTTTTGAACAAATACCCACATTTTTGGCATAGAATACTTCCTTATCAAAGAGACAGTCCGATATACTAGGGTCATAGAATCTGCCTCAGTTCGCATAGCTTCTTGCTCTGATAATAATGATCTATCTATCAGATCATCTAGCAAGGATCCTTCTAAAGCTGGCATATATAAATTCGTGGCCATTTCATTTATGCCTTTTTTGCTAACCTCCTTATGCTTAGATTTTGTAAACTTATCTGCTAAGATATAGTGGTATGACTTGGCCCGGATATGATAAGATTCTGTAATCACATTGCCTGAAGTTTCGTCTTTAAAAAGCCCAATAGTCTTAGAATCATTAAGATCGAAAAGATCAGATCGCTCTGCCATATTTTTATAGATATCTTCAGTTTTAACTTGGAATATGAATGAGTCTGTATCCATATATCCAAGCTGGGCTTTATTACCATATTTTTCTTTTACATATCCATACCAGAAATGATATATTAAAAGTTTGCTAAGGCCAAGAACTGATGCTCTAACAATAATAGGCTTGTTGAGAGTTATACTAGCTTTTCTCATATGTGCTCCAACAAGTATATTTTCAAGCTGTCTAGCATATTTAAAAGAGGGTTTACAGATCTGCTTAATAAATTTCTTTTCATCTTGCTTATTATTCATAGCTATAAGCTTGACGTCTTGGTATTTGCGAACATTTTCCATAGTTTTGCCATATACTAAGTTATTCATGAGCTTAAAGAAATCTTTCTCAAAAGCATTCTTAGCACCTTGTCGCTTTTCTGTATTAAAAGCTATA